CTCCGTTACAATCAGGCCTGCTCGTGGCATTCCGCGAAACGCACGGCGAACACGTCATCGGCTGCTCGAGAGAAGAGCGGCGACCTACACGCGCGTGCACATACGTTGGAGGAGAGCTGGACCATTGTCGTTCGAGCGTATTGCTTCGATGCGACGTTACATAGAAAAGAAAGAGAGAGTATATATGTGTATGTAAAGTTAAGAAAGGAAAATTGAGAGAGGCGCGTTATGAGAGAGAAAAGACATTGGAAGATGGAAATGTATATATGGAATGGTTAGAGGTAATATGAAAATGTTGACATGCTTTGAATCTAATATATTGTTTAGATTTGGAATTACATGGAAAATGTATAACGTTTCAAGCAAATTAGGACAGCTTAAAATTGTCAATTGTTTTTCCAAGAAATTATTAAAGTAAATTCTGAAAGAATAAATTCAAGATATTGATTTTCAAGAAATATTTTTTCTACAAAAAAGACAGAGAAATACTAAGTAATTTTTAAGTGATAATAAAAGCAAACGATTGTGCAATTTTGGAAACGACAATGCAAAACAAACTGGTAGAATTCATAAGATTCCTAATATTGGCTCACAGCTGTGTAACGCCCGCATTTACAGGATTTAGACGCAGTTATATTGGATCCGGTTAACGGAGAGAGAGTAACGAGCAGTAAGCACGAAAGCAGTCACGTTGGAATTCGCGCGATCGACTAGCTACCGTGCTATCTTCTCCTGAATTATTCGGATGGTTTTTAGCGAGAAAGTATTTTCTTTAAATCTAATCACTCTCGAGATCTGATACTGATCAATTATCAAAATGAATAATGATATCAGAAATCGAAGGATCTGATTGGTCTATTAAATTTATCTTGCAAAGTTCTTAAAATTTCTAATATCCTAAAATTCAATTCCAAAATTGTATAAATCTGTAACATATATCTTCCATAATTTTCTCTCTACAATCCGGAATAATTAATTTAATCCGGTCATTGTGACACACACGTGCTTTGAGAGGTCAGAATTATGGTGAATCAGTTCCGTGGCGCATTGCTATTTGCTCGAGTTCTCCCCGAAGGGACAGCCGTTCGTTCTATCTGATGATTCCATGAATTCATTGGTGTGCGTGAATCACACGCAGCATTGTTACCAAATCAACTGACACTATATGGATTGCATTTCATGACATCGCCATATGGATGTCGAAATATATCTTTCTACATATAACGCATATGAAAGATAGAGAATGATCGTTACATTGTTCAATTAATAATTTTGTCTTACTAATAAATATTTAAAATATTTTTCTGCATAGAAAAAATAATTTATGATTTTAAAATTAAAATATTAATGATGTTGATTATTATTACATTACAATACTTTAAATATATATAAACATCGTTCAACTTAAAGAACCTTGGGAACTTCAAGTTCACTAAGTTATCCTCCAACTAACTAGAAATCTCGGAAACCTCACCTAACCTACAACTCACACCGTCATCGATCTTGGATCGATCGAACAAACGAGCCGGAACACCCAGAAGCACGCGTGATCACGATTTTTTCGAGTAAGGCCCAGAGCTCGATTCAAAGTCCAAGTCGTAAAATGTCCCCCGCCTTGTATAAACCTTGCGATCAGATATAAAGCCACGAAGAGCACGGACTACTGCACTGGCAATGGAACGAGGCCCGCTTCTTTTTCACCGGCAAATCCTAATTGTATCTCGGTTTACCCGGCGGACACGGATTTACGCGGCAGTTCTCCAAGGCCTTGGTGGCCTTCGTTCGGTTTGCGTGCGGAAATCTTGAGGGTGGTCGACCGACGAAGGTGATTCCGTGATTACAAACTCAAGTGCCGCTGGATCTTCATCTATTTTCTATTATTTTCGCTTACAAGATGCAACGATACTAGCAATCGATGAGCGATATGCTTTACTTCAAGTCAGTTTCGAATAATCTTCTTTAAATTAAATTCTAAAGAAAAATAGAATATAGAATTGACTTTATTATGAATTTAAAATTGTTTTGTTGAAAAATATTGGAATAAAAATTTTTGATTGGAAGTTGAATACTAGAATCTTTTTGAAAATTGAAAAATTTTAAATGAAATATTGAACTTTTTATAATATTGAATAGTATTAAAATAATTCCATCTTTGGAATATGTTTTAACAAAATTTTATTCAACCAATGGATCACGTGCGACGAAGTTGAGAGGTCGGCGATTTCCTGAGTAAATTGCGCATTTGCACCGCGCATCACATGACTCCCTGGGGCATATGATTGCGCACGCGCGGATCGTGGAATTTCCGTAGACTCGCGGCGTCTAAACCGATACTATGTGCGCCTCTATGGGCATGTTATATCGCTATCTTAATAAAGCGCAGATATACGGTAATCTTTCGAGTTGTACGTCAGCACGAAACAAACATTAAAGTATATAGTAGCTGGCATCAATTTACATTTATTAGTTCAGGATCGATCGAATACAATATTAATAAGTTGTACACAGAAAATAATTCTAGTTGAAGATAAAATTCCAGATTTCGTTAATTCATGTACGATATATGATATATCTTGCTCGTTTTTAACCTATATATATTCTTTTCAATAATTATAAAAATTTTTATAATAATTATATAATTGATCAAATTACCCACTATTGATAATACTTGTACATGTTCTTTTTATGTGAAAATAGTTCGAAATGGCATCATGTAAAATTGGCAATCGCGAAATATCAAATGAAGACGGCTTAACACGTTACGTGAACCATTAACGTTGCATGACAGGAGCCGATTACATTTTGTGTTACGCGTGTTTTGGCGTAATTGACGCACGGCAACAATATAGTCCTTATTATGACAATTACAAGCGATGCTTGATTTCACAGCATGGCTTCCTTGTAATTGGATTTGTTGGTTATGAATCCTCAGTTACTGCTTCACTCTTATAATGATATTCTTTGAATCTATTCTTAGATCGAATTATGTAACGAAGAGAAATCTTAAGTTTTGTGTATTATTTTTGCAATAATATTTATTTGTTATTGTCATCAAAGTAAAATTAGATAGGATTCACCTATACGTAATCGCTAAAAATTCTGTTATACTATGAACACATGCTTTAATTGCACCTAACGTTCTAATGACTATCATAATACAATGCAATGCAACTTGTCCAATAAGCTTTTGCCGAGATAATTTATCGATTCGCCCACGTAAGCCGGGATTCCATTAGTAACTTATTATTAGCAGTCTAGATGCTAGAATCGAGTGCAAGAAATCACATCACCGACGACAACGCCACCAACGATGACAATAACGAGACATCGATCAAAATGGCGACACGTTCGCGTGCGTTTCAAAACATTAGTTTCGTAATAAAGTCATTAAGACAGAGTATTCACCGAGTAGAAGTTTGTTTGAGAAATGTTTAAGTTATAAGATCTTCGTTCTGTAAACTAATGTTGAAAAGGAAAAATTACTTATTTATATATATGTATAGTATATAAAGAGCAAATAAATATTTACATATTTATATAGATATTATATAGATATATTATATTATTTATTTTAACCAATTATAAAAAAAAAAAAAATATTTCGAAGCATAAAATCAAATTGTAATTCAAAAGCATCATCTAAAAATAATTCTTCTTGGCAATTTTCCATTGTCAACATTCCAAACGTTTCACATTATGACATCAGGTTATACAAATTACTATAGAACTGTCAAGAAAAATAGGCGTTAATAATCCAACAGTGGACCGACATATCCGTGACACAGACGAAGTGCAAAAGCTAGTCTACTCAATGCGATTACGTAACGAAAATGATCCTTTCCCAGACAGTGCCATAACGTGCAACATTTCACTGTCCTAATCCCACGTTCGAGGTATTAAAACCTGATCTTCGATTGAATTCACAATGTAATGATCTATTCGATGATTCTACTATATCGAAAATATAGTAGATAATTCTCATTTATAATCATAATTAATATAGTTATGCTTGTGTTAACCTCAATTTTAATAATGTATATATGTACATACACATATGTATGTATAATTATTATAAAATTAAAAATATTAACAATATAAATAACGAGTTAATTCGATTTTCCCAATCAACAGAGATAAGTTAGATAAAAATTATTAAATTAAAAATCAGCAAATATTCATCCTGTATACCACAGTCATAATGTTTCAGGCAATCAGCTTGCATTCTCCTGTGAACGAATCATCGCGAGAAACTGGTAGCATACAGCGCGATTGCATGTTGAAACGCGATGCTTAATTTTATAACGCCGGGCAATGAGTCCGCATTCCATGAAAGAGAATTTCCCTATAGGACACCGCCTTGATATCGATTCGTGTCCCCCACGGTTCTTATCGTCGGTACTTTGAAGTTTACGACCGCTGACGAGATTTCTGTCCCGGATGGTTTAATAAAAGTATCTTGTTCCGTATAATCTTTGAAGTAATATTACGGAAGCGCTACATACGCTCCTCACAATGTTGCATGAAAAGTCGTGGCATTAGACTTGCAAGCGGTCGAGCGCAATGCTTTTCATAGGTGGAGCCTCGTACACGATTTAATCCCTATGTACGCTCGTCTCTATCAGAAGAAGAGTTTAGAGATAGACGCATGCAATATGATTTCCGTTTTACTTCCTTGTTACCTTATATTTTCCTTTCTACCTCATTGGTATCTTGCTACTAACGATTTCATATTATTTCTGTTTCCTCTCTTTTCTAATTATATTACTCTGCGAATAAAAATATTAACTCATAATATAAAAAAAATAAGTGCTTTGTAAATTATAATTTTTATCATATTTTAATAATATTATAAAATTAAATAGTAAGTAAAAATTATACAGTTATTCATGTTGAAAAAGAATTTCATTTCTATATTAAAATACATTAATTTTAAAGTCTCGAAAAATTCTTCAATTTGCACCTAACCTTAAAAACTCGTTCCAATAATACACTTTTCTCATAATTCCAATGAGCTCTATCTACTCGAACAGAATAGATAAAAGAGGTTGGCGATGATCTAGTCGAGTATCGCTAAATTGACGCTGATTCGCAGTAAATTACACGGTCGGTTGCGCACCAGTGTCTCCGAAATCGTGACCGTAACCGTGGAGAGACCGTGCCGCGATAAGAGCGCGGCTACGACTAATGGCGAGTACGAGAGATCCTCACTGCGTGCGTATCATGTTATTAATCGTTGGCACTTTCAGCTCGGCTGCTCCAAGCAGCGATCCGTGCGGACAAAAGGAACAGGAATATCGTAGCCTTGTGCACCGGGTGAACTCTCCTTCGTCTTCGATTTTAATTAATCCTTTTCCGTTGAGGTTATGTTCAATATTTCACTTGAATTATATATACGTATAATATTTAATTCTCAAAAACATTTTGTAATTCCGTTTCAATCAAAATGGAAATTTCAATAAAATTACAATATTAAGAATATACGTAAATTGAAATAAACGAATTATATATTTATACATCGAAGAATGAAAAATAATGGAACAGTGAACATAACCATTGAACTGGATCGAATCGTGTCCTCAGGATCAATTGACGATCCAGAGAAAGTGTTTCGAATAGAATGACGACTCTTGAAGAGTACCGGTTCTCCCTCACTATTTTATTCGCGCTCGGCCGAGCACCGATGCAACGCCTACACGAATTTGCTGTGGGTGGTCGGATTTTCCAAATCCATTTTTTCCAAATAGTTGTTCATCTGTTTTTAAATGTCATTTTTAATAGATATTTCTATAAAAGATGTTATTTCATGAATCGTGATAGTATATTTTTAAAAATTTGGATAAAAAATATAAGAATACACAACATTATTTAAACATGAACAGAAGTGAATATGAATATTATTTAACTATAATTCGTATAGAAGATAATTTAACAAATATTTTTTTTTCTAATTTCTTCTAGTAGGAGACCATTCCTTTTCTATTAATCCTATAATACTTCAAATAGCTAATAAATAAGTGTTGCTTTTAATATAATAGATATATTAAGAAATATAAGAACGCGAAGACAGTTTACATTATAAAAATAAATCAATAGTATTATATGTGCAATAAAGATATAATCATGCAAACGTCGATTGGAATACCGTCAATTCCATAAATTCCACGATTTAAACCGTTTTCCAGCTCAAGCATATTACGAATTTCCAATGCTCGTGCAACAGTTTCATACGGTCCATTGCTTTTCCTAATCAAGATGTAATCGATAAGAAAACTCAGAGCGGTATTCCTAGACCGCCCGGCTACACCTCAGTCATTAACCCCGATCGTATAATCTGAAATCCCCATCGCGTGTTGAAAAAATCGCGCGCATGTCCAGTTGAGTTCCTCTTCTCCGTCTCTCCATCTACTAATGCTCATATGGATATCGAGAAAATATTGGGCGTATCGAGTAATTCTCGAATAGAGGGAAAACTGGACATGGACCGTTCCACCGTTCATAAGAAAATCATGTTCGTTACAGGTGTTCGATCGTGTTCCGCCGCGTAATCCGCTCATACGATCTTATCGCGGTGAAATTAACCTACGAGACCCGACGCTGCCCAGTCCACGTGACATCAACGGCATACCGCGAGTGCATCCATCGTGACGGAGGAGAGGACATCGAATAACGCGCGTTTTCAAAGAGGTCGACTGGGGCCACTCCTCCTCGATAATTGCCGACTTTGTAACGGGCTCGCGCAGCCGCAATTCTCCTCGACTGCAGCGCCACCCGAGCGTGATGTTCTATTTGGAAATGTGATTGCAGGTGATCAGTTGATGAGATTCCTAGTTAGATATGTGATACGTTTTGTATTTCTGCTGTGTAGAAATCATGTCGAATATTCTATGACGGCCATATTCTATATATGGATTTAATATATATGAAATATCTATTAATATTCCAAACTTAACCTAAAATTCTCAATTATAAATTAATTTCTTTCCGTGTAGAACGATTCGTATAGATCATAATCGAACAAAATGTTCCTTCCACTGAATATCATTTCTCAGCCATACCATAGGATTCGATGCGTTGAGCAGGGCCAACCAAGCAGACGATTAATTTGTCATTCTCGGCCGTGTAACATGCGTGTTCCTCGAGCCACTTGGCACGACCGAGTGATATTATACGCGCGCGCCAACGATTCCTCATATTACGCGGTCAAACCATCCGCTATTAATATCGGAATGATTCTCGAGGCGGCGCGCCGGAGGGGTGCGCACGGACCCCACGTCGGGAAACGCCGTGATTAAATGGCCATTTTTTCTCGCGATGATAAAGGACGCCCGGCTCGATTACATTAAAAGCAATAGAACCACCACTGGCCACTACTCGAACGGATCACCCATCTTCGCGATTCTCTTTTCTTCAGACGATCTTCTTTTTCTTCTTCGTCTTTCTCCTATCCGTGTCGGTTGCTTTGCTCGTTTTTTCTCTTCTCTCAATCTCTCAATATTTTCTGACTATGACGGCTAATGTTGTACGAGAATAGCTCGTTAGTCAATTAGCCACTTGCTCGCTTTCGTTCAGACATCTGTTTCCCCTGAAACATGACATGCAACTGTAAATCGAGCCATATATTTTTTGAAAGTATGCTTTTTAAGAATTCAATAATGAATGATGTAAATGAATTTGGTATTCTTTCAACTTTGTCGTTTTTAGATTATATATGCAGCACTTGTGATGGTGGAAGGTTAGATAAATCGACGCAAGAGATGATTCTATGATTTAAGAAATGTATATAAATTTTCTAGCATGAGGATATTACGAGAACAGTTGAGGGAAATCGTCGAGAAATTCCGTGCACTGACATTCCGGGCCGTGCGTGCAACTACGCTTGGTATTTTGCACATACCAACCGCAAGGACTTTGATCCAGCCCTTCCTTATTTTTTCCTTCTAATACAAATTGCCATCTGTTCACAATCTGACTTCGACTTCTATCTCGTAAACTTTCTCTGTTATCTTCTTGATGAAAAAATAAAACATTATTTAGAAAATACTTATCATACATTCTTATCATTTAAATATCTTATATCAATGCTTGTATTGCAGCAGAGAATTACGATTCAACATAAATTTATTTCAACCATAATCCATTCTATTTCCTAACCTTCTCTATTTCCTTGAATCATCTTCATTCGCAATACCACTTTCAAATCAATCATCTCCAACACATAAAACCGCAGAAATTTCACAGAGATTGACAATTCTTGAAGTGTATTCACGAGAAATGCAATGATTACAGCCGAGACGCAATTCACTTTTCCGTTGGTAGTCCAGAAAAAAAATCAAAGTGGTTATTAGTAGGAAATTACCGACTGATCTATTACGATCCACAAAGTGTCGCGTCAATCGCGTGAGAGAATGTCGCATGCTCGATATGCTCCTGCGCAGCAGCGCGAGAAAGAGAAATAAGCGATTCGTTCCTAACTATCAATCTACGCGTGCGCAGTTTCACCGGTTTCAGCCGCACGATCATTACTTATCAATCTGGTGACGACATTATGAACCAAAATTGAATCAACGAACGAGAGTAGTAATTTCTTTCACGCTGCATGTTTTTAATTGCAAAAAAAACTATTAGGATTCTTGCTTTCATATCGAAAATAATATTCATTTGATTAAAAATTCATAAAATTGAAGAAGTTAATTTATATTATTGAGAAGATTCATTAATGCTTGAAATGAATAATTATTGGACTCCCGAAATATTTAATTATTTAAAATAAGAGAATGAAGAGAACTTTTCTAATTATATTTTCTAATTACATTTTCTATTTACATTTCAATACTTTTGATTGATACAGTAAATTCTCAAAAATTTTTCAGTTAATTTTATTGATCACAAATCACATTTGAATTGGCCATCAACAATTAGATCTTATTTGTCGCAAATAATCCGTAGTATAAATATCCGATAAGTGTTTCGACCAAACGGTACAGGCCAGATTCGTGTTATCAAAGTGTACTAACCATTTACTGTTGTCAAAGCCGATTGCAGTGTCGATACTTACGACCATATAAGAGGACCGGTGCCATTCCGAGATAATCCTCTTACTGGTGGTCCACGAGCGAAACACGGAAACAGTTCTCAGCGATATTATTTCACGAGAAAAAAGTTCACAGATTGGTCGTAATACTTGGAAACAACTTTAAACAGGCTGACACGTCTCGTTATGAAGCTCTGTGAAGAAATTATTAAGCAGAAGGCGTAGAACGTAGATCTAAAATAAAATAAGCCTACATGTATACTACTGTATATTCTGCACATTTTTATCATAAATTTTGTGAAAAATTTTTTGACAATAATAATATTTTTCGAACATGCGTCGAATATTTTTTTGAAAACTAATTTTTATCGATAAGAAAAATATACTATGCATTATGGAAAGACAATTTTGGTTGAAGTAACGAATCCATTAACGCAACCCTCTTGTTCCTTCATCCTCACCGACATCTTTATCGATCACGGATAAACCGCAATGGACGAACAATAAACGCTCTTACAAATGAATCTCGACCACGCACTCAACGATAAACGTACTCCACCCCCACGCAGTTACAAGATTTATATTCCATTAGAACCTTTTCTCCTTTTCCTCTGTTCTTCGCCGTATAGTATATACACATCGACCTTTGGAACTTTATTTATCCACTCGCCGTGCCAGACGATACCTCATTACCGCTTAATTACCGGAGTGAGTGTCTCGCGACCGACAACGGATAGATGCTGTGGCTACTATATTCTGTGTTCTAAAGTTAAACATAATTACGCGAAATCTACATAGCTTGTTAATAAATATTCGTCTATATATTTTTATAATTTGATTTGTAGAAAATTTAAAAATAAAAAGATATTAGATCTAATAGAAAAGAAGATATAAAAGTTAAATTTTTGGTGTGAAGATGCATTAGTGTTAATTATAATATTAGATTTAGATCGAAGAATACACTAAATTACTTTTTTTTTTTCGTTCAAATTTTAATAAGAGCTTCAATAATATTAATATGATGAGAAATTTTCCTATCAGTAAAAAATTTTCATTATAGGTACATCTACATTTTGTGCTGAATTCCGATTAATGAGATTCTACTCATTACCCTAATTCTTCTATATTATAGATCATTTTCTGGTTCATTTTTCGCGTTATTTTCTTAAGTGCAAAAATTAAAATTCTATTAAATCTCTATTAAAAAAATTTTAACCATAAAATAAATATATTTTTTTTTCTATTTGATACAATTTTTTCATGATTACGTAGCACGTTTCTATCAAAAAAACAATCAATTCATCAAGATATCCGAATGAAGTGCTAGTGTCGTCAAATCAAAACACTCCATATGAAATATAAATAATAAATCGTATTCAATTATACATTAATAACAAGACTACGAAAAGAGTAACCGATTAACTCGTGGGATATACAGTGACTTATGATTTATTTTCCAATAAACAAATTGATAGTTATCATGAACAGAATATAAATATAACTTCCTTTCTGCGTGCGTACCATCAACTGATATTTATATAATTAATCGAATCATAGTCTACAATCGTCGCTTACTAATCTTTTCAGTAGTTAAATAGTTTTATCTAAGTATGGAAGACTTATTCAATGTCTAATCTATGAGATCTTACGCGCGTGAACGTCTGTTACGCCCAACGGTTCACGTTTAGAAAGGCTATAACAAAAAATATTCATCGGTTCTGCGTCGACGGCTCGAATAATTAAACGATCCTAACCGACGCGACGTTTAACGGTCAAGAGAACGCGGAACCGTAAATGTAGGCGTGTACGTTGATAGAATGTTTGGATTATGCGAGAATAGTTTTAAAATTATACCATTGCTTGCTATTGAGTATTCTTTTATTTACACGCTGAACAGAAAAATAGAAATGACACTTAGTATATATATATAATAGATTATGCACAAATATAATTTTTCTTTAATACTATCCTTTTTGGTTAGAAACAGAAAAGATATATGGATAACGATGATGAATGAAAATTGTTTGTATTTTATATAATATTATAATATATTATTAATAATATAGTAAATATATTAATATATTATTAATAATAATAATAAATAAGTTTTAGATAAATATATTTATATTATTGAACTGAATTTATTTTAGGATTTGTAAATACATGAAATCAGTGAAAACGTTTCTTAACTTTCTTAGTTTAAGGGAACAAAAGAGTGGACGATCGGTACTCTAGCATGGTACGTCGCGAACGTTGTCCCCGTTATCTTTGCGAGGCTCGATCGTTTTTCACTGCTTAAGTATACGCTCATTGGCGCAAAGAGCATTGCCTATGCAATCTGGGATGTTAATCGGGCAACATTGGCTTGTATTACGGTACAAAGTAATGTTGTAATATACTATGAACCGGCAGTGGATTAGTTTGGATGTTTAATGAAAACCGCGATTGAGATTGTCTAATAAATATCTTATATATAAATTAATCTTTATATATTATCTCTTTTGAAAAAGAGATTTGTAATTTTCAGATCAAGATTCTTATTACAGTTTTTCGAAAGATTGAAAACAGTTTGTTGATAAGTAAACTTTATTATGTACAAAGCACATTTAAAAAATAATTAAAACATTAGATATCATATTATATATTGTCAATTAATTTTTTTAAATCATTAAATTTATATAATCACACATAAATGTTTATAAATGTTTATTTAAAGATTTATTATCAAACTAAGGAATATATTCTATTCAATAAAGATTATTTTTACCCAAAGATATCAATATAAAAAATTTCTCAACATCTTTATTAAATTATCTTTCATATTTTGAATAATTGAATTTTCTTTTTTAATTTTAAATAATAGGAAATTAAATTTCCGACAATAATAATGCATTCATCATAAGCAATGAAAGAAACAATATTTTAGATCAATGTTTATTTTTTCTATTCGTAGAAAAATTAAAATATATTAAATTTATAAATTAAATTTTAAATATTTATCAATTTTTAAAAATAGTAGCTTGTCAATATTGATAATAAAATTCATATTTTTTTCCAAATATTTTCATCATTCTCGATTCGTAAATATTTTATCTTAGATAAAATTTCCAGAGGACTTATATTCAAGGATTCGCGAATAGCGGCTTGTAATAAATAATTACCGAAGCAAGACAACTGAGCATATTTTTTTTCACGCGATTTTAACAACGCCCACATGTGTCGGGGAGGGAATGGTTAATCATAGTGCGCCGCAGGTAATGATTCACGGTAAATTCTTTGACCTAGCTTATTACTTTAATTAGGTACGCTGGAACGGCCGAGGAGTAGGGCGTAACGCGTGACAAGCAAGGAATGAAAAATTTTAATCACGTTTGTTATTAACGTTAATAAATTGATCCGCGGCATGGTAGCAACGCGATCTCTCGTTCGCGTCGTTTTACGCGTCTTTTGTTACCGATGTGCTGTGACCGGGAGAAGAAACGGTATTTTTTAATTATGATATCGTTAATTTGAAGAACATTTTGAATCTTAAAATTTTATTGATAATAGTAATTGATAATTGCTAACTTAGAATGAAGAATTAAATTAATAGAGTACATAAATTTTTCCAATGATAAAGATAACTTGTTTCCTTTATATCAATCGATGATGAAAAATATATATATATATATGATAAATGTCCTCGTTATGTAAACTCATTCTGTATAATTAAGGAAAAAAACATACATCCATTCATCATTTGAAATCTTGACAAAGATTATTTTCTTTTATTAAAGTTTTATCCAAGAAGAAATAAATAATTACACTTAATATATCAAATATGCATCTTTTGAAATTTTAATTCTTAAAGGATATTTTATTTGGCATTTGCATGCAACATAATTTTGTTAAACTAGATAGAAATTTATAATAAACTCACCAAAGAAATAACGATAACCTCAAAAGACTCTCGTCATTTACATAACCGCAATTCCCTTCGAGCTATTGACCACTCGCCATAAACGATAGAGTCGCCACCATTGACGTGTTTCAACAAACGTGTGAACATAGGGTGCTGGTTAGTGACGTAGCTCGCGCTTCTAGCAATCCCAGCATACCGTGCTCTCTCCTCTCGGCCGTCTCCATGAATATTCATCGCTTTTCCGACCGTCACTTGATGCGCGAGCGTGCGTTGCTCCCAATTTGTCACACACCGTGGCATTATCCCATTTCGCTAATAAAGTAATATTACGGGGAAACAGGCACGGGCTGATTTACTTTTTTACTCTGTTGCCATAGTCGCACAATTACGCAACTTGGTAATTGCATGGCGCCCTATCTGTCAGCTATCCGTATCATCGCGTAACGAGACGCGACTTTATTACCAAGTTCCCTGCATCCTCCTTCATCCAACTTAGATGACGTGAAAAAAAGAACAACGACCGTTCTGTTCGTGAATGATGTCTGAAATGATAGAGAAGGGAAGCGATAAACGAGAGACAGGAAGACTGTGTGTAATGGAAATGTGTTCTTTATATATAGAATGCATATGCAACCTCGAATCATTTGATATGATGCATTGGTGACGAAGGAAAATAGTCTATTCGCGCGTTTTCTGTGTGTTGCAGGACGAACGAGAATACTTCGGCGGATCGACGACAGGGGGAGGGCGAAGTAGTCGACATTAA